TGAACTTAGGGGTGCCTTAACCACTGAGCTGCATCCCTAGGCATGCCTTAATTTTTATATTGAGACAGGGCCTCACCAAGTTGCTAAGGCTTGGCTTTGATCCTCCTGTCTCAGTCTCCTCAGTTGCTGGAATTATAGGTGTGTGCTATCATGCCTGGTTTAAAGCTATATAAATTTAAAGGCAATTTAAAATATTTTATTGTGAACTGGGGTTGTGGCTCAGTGGTAGAGTGCTTGCCTAGCATGTGTGAGGCACTGGGTTTGATCCTCAGCACCACATAAAAATAAATAAAATATTGTGTCCATCTACATCTAAAAAATCTATATATTTATTTATTTTGTCATTCACTTTGAGACAGAAATTTCAGGTTTTCTATTTACTGTTTTTCTTTGAGTGAACTGTATAGCATGAATCATCACGTCAAATCATGCCCATTGATGGGAATACCACTTTACACGTGATTGAATAATATTGCTATTAGATCAATTTGAATGAATGGAATGCCATTATAATTAATGTTAATCCTTTTCTGACAGTATATAGTAAAAACTCACTCAGTATATGCTATATAAATTAAGGGAGAGTTGAGAATTTTGAGGTATTTATGAATGAATATTTTAGAAGCATTAATATTTTTTAAAGCATTTTAAATATAATATCAGTATCAAATTAACCCAGGCAACTTTTTTCCATGACAGTAGAAACCTCACTAAAAATTATTTCAAAAATCAATTGTTTTCCTGGCAAAGGCATATCTAGTTTGTATGTCATGAATGCATATTTCAAGTAAGGACATAGCCTGGGTCAATTTGCCAGAGAGATGGTGAGCTGTATCACAACTTCTTCCTTCTTCCCATCTCCCATATCCAGTCTTCCATTATCTTCTTTTCAGATCTGTGCTCTTTCCATGCATCTGCTGCTATTCAAGGCAGGTTGCTGTTATACCTTACCTGAATTGCTGTATCAAATTTCCAAACTAGAGTTTTCTCCTCTAGTCCATCTCTCTTCCATCTATAATCAGAATGATTCCAGTTTCCTTCTTCCTTAAAACCATATACATTATTAACTGTGTAACAAAGTCCAAATTATTTTGCACGACCTGCAAGACCTTCATGATTGGAATTGTATTGAAATCTACAGATCAATTAGGGAATAATACCAACCTTACAATGTTGACTCTTCACTAATAGAGTATATCTATTTGATCATGTCTAATTTCACTCATTATTGTGATTTTTGGTATAGAAGTCTTTGACATCTTGGGCTGGGGTTGTGGCTCAGTGATAGAGCATTTGCCTCCCACATGTGAGGCACCGAGTTTGATCCTTAGCACCACATTAAAAAAAAATAGATAAACAGAATAAAGATATTTAAAAAAAGAAGTCTTTGACATCTTTTGGTAGAATTATTTCTAGGTATTTAGGCATTAGGAAGTGGTACTACTATAAGTAAATTTTTGATTTTAATATTCCAGTATTTTACTATTTGCATATAGAGAATTGATTTTTCAATATTAATTATTTCCTGGGCTGGGGATGGGGCTCAAGCAGTAACACACTCTCCTGGCAAGCGCGGGGCTCTGGGTTCGATCCTCAGCACCACATAAAAATAAAATAAAGATGTTGTGTCCACTGAAAACTAAAAAATAAATATTAAAAAATTCTCTCTCTCTTTAAAAAAATATTATTTCATGCAACTTTGCAAAATTCAACTACAAGTTCTTTTTTCCCCTCATTTTTAAATTGGTGCATCATAATTGTACATACTAATGGAATTTGTTGTTCAAATATCTGTGCATGCACACAGTATACAATGTTGTTATAATTTGGCCAATATCACTCATTCCTCCAACTACAAGTTCTAATGGTTGCTTTGTGAATTCTCTTGGGTTTCTACCTAAACTACCTTATCTTCACGAATAGGAACAGTTTTATTCTAATTTTTCTTCTTCTCCTCCCTCTCCTCTATTCCTCTCCTCTCCATCCCTTTCCCCTCCCCTCTCTCCTGTTGTTATTTCAGTGGCTAGGACTACTAATACAATGTCGAATAGAAGTGTTACAGAAGAACATTTTTTACTTATTCCTAATCTTAGAAATAATTCAGTCTTATATATAAGTATAATATTAGTTGTGCATTTCTCATAGGTGCCCATTTATCTATTTGGGATGTTGCCCTATTGTTACAGTTTGCTAAGTGTTGCTGTTGTTGTGTTTTTCTTTTCTTTCTTTAATTTGGGAGGGGAGTAAGGGGGTTGAACTCAGTGTCATTCAACCACTGAGCCACATCCCCAGCCCTATTTTGAATTTTATTTAGAGACATAGTCTCATTAAGTTGCTTAGCACCTTGTTATTTCTGAGGCTGCCTTTGAACTCAAGATCCTCCTGCTTCAGCCTCCCCAGCAGCTGGGATTACAGGTTACAGGTGTGTCTGTTTCTGTCATAAATGAATATTGAGTTTTCTTTTATCTTTTGAAATGACCTTGTAGTTTTTCTCCCATGGATGGTTAACACATTGAATTACACTGATTTTTGAACATTCAGCCTTGTATTCTTGGGGTAAGTTTTATGTGGTCACAATGTATTACCTATCCTGTACACAATGGAATCTCAGCCATAAAGAAGTATAAAATTATGGTATTTGCCAGTAAATGATGAAATTAGATACTGTCATGCTAAATGAAATAAGCCAGTCCTAAAAACCTAAAGTCGAGATGTTCTCTCTGATATGTGGAGCTAACTCACAATGGGAGAGGGGGAGATGGAGGTTCACTGGATCAGACGGGGGAGTGGGAGAAAGGGAGGGTGGATGGGAATGGGAAAGACAGTAGAATGAATTGGACATAACTTTCCTATGTTCTTATATTAATATATGACCAGTATAACTCCATATCATGTACAACCACAAAAAATAGGAAGCTATACCCCATTTATGTATGACATGTCCAAATCATTCTATTGTCATGTAAAACTAAAAAGAACAAATAAAAGAAAAACAATGTATTACCTATATGTACCTTGTTGGGTTCAGTTTGCTTTTTTTGTGGTGCTGAGGATTGAACCCATGGCATTGTGCATGCGAGGCAAACACTCTACCAACTGAGCTGTATCTCCAGCCCCTACATCAATATTCTTTATGAATGCTTTCTTTATTGTAAAGGCTTTGTCACAATTTTGGTATAAGGATTATGTTGCTCTCTCTTCCTCTCTTTTGAAAATACTTGCATTATTTTTTATTGTTTCCTCCTGAATTAACAGAATTAACCATGAAACCATTTGAGCTTTCTTTTAGAAAAGTTTTGTTTTGATTTGTTTTGTTCTGTTGTCATCAGTTTCTGTTGTAGAAACTTTGTCATCCATCAGCAATTGAGATCTAATAGTATTAAAACAAACCATTTGAAAAGTTCAGAACCTTGTAAGGAGTAACACTTTTAAGGACTGTTGTACAGATTATGGGAACTGAATTCAGGTAGAAGCCAACCAGGCATTCACTGTTACATGGCTCCAAACTAGCTTTGTCAGGTTTTGGAAAACTGATATAATACTTTTATACCTGAACCTTTTTTTGTTCCTGTAAAGCAGTTTTTTTTCCAAACTGTTAAATATTTTAGCTGAGTATGGTGGTTCACTCCTGTAATCACAGCAGCTTGGGAGACTGAGGCAGGAGGATGGCAAGTTCAAAGCCAGCCTCAGCAAAAGCAAGGGCTGGGCAATTCAGTGAGACCCTGTCTCTTAAAAAAAAATTCAAAATAGGGCCGGGATGTGGCTCAGTGGTTGAGTGCCCTGAGTTCAATCCCCAGCACCACAGATAGATTGATAATTTCATAAAGATCCTTGTGCCTCCCTGCCCAGCTTTCCAGGATCTCCTTCTTGACAGAGCCCTGTTAACCTTTCAGAGTGTTTGCAGACTCCACATACCCCTTTCACTTTCCTGCCCATCATGTTGTCCTCACTGCTCTCACCCAGCCGAGGACCCATATAAGTGATCCCAAGTCCTGCCAAATAAGAAATGCCTTATTTCTATTTGGTAATTGCTTATCCTTGGGTTCATGGGACCCTTGGATGGTGGAACACTTCAGACATGCCTTTTACCTCTGTGTAATGAATTGGAATATTTCAGAAATTTCAGATAGCCAAGACTGGTAGAATCCTGCTTCTACCAGTGGCTGACCCTGATCTGGCTATCCTTGCTGATGGTCTATAGCCTGCCCTGTCAGAGAGTCTTCTCCTGCTGATTAAGTTTAATTCCTTATTCTCTACTTGAATTTCAGTTCCCTTGTTTTCTGGTACCCAGCAGAGCATAGATGCCCTCTCTCTGACATCCATCCTAGAATGGATTCAAACTACCTTTTTGGCTCTGCTTTTAGTAATGAAGTTTCTAGAGGGTAGCAGTGGAAGGGTATCTTCTTGGTTAATACACGTAATACACATTTCAGTATTAAGGGGCAACTAAACCTCTCTGTTACTTTGGAAAGGAAATGTACCATAAAGAAGCTTCTCTCTTTTTTTAATTGCTTAATTAGTTCTTCTTTCTTTCCCTATTTTGCTTTTTTCTTTTGTGTAGCCATTATTATAGCTCTAAAGGAAACTGGCAAAATTTGTCTCCAAAAGTTATTGTTTTTACTTTTTTCCATATTTCTTTCCAGTTGCTGCCCCAAAGCAGTGATACTAACTAGGTACAGTTTCAAAGTGCTTTGTTTGTTATGTTGGTTTTGTACTGGGGATTTAACCTAGGAACTTTACCACTGAGCTACATTTCTAGCCCTTTTCATTTTTTTATTTTGAGACAGGGTCTCACTAAGTAGCTAAGGCTGATCTTGGACTTGCAATCCTCCTGTCCCAGACTCCTGAGTTGCTGGAGTTATAGGCATATGGCACTGTGCCCAACTCTGAAGTGCATATCTTTTTTTTTTTTATGACAGATGATCATAGTTGGAAGAAATTAATTGAGATATGGGAATGTCGGATAATAATGGTTTCTTATTTTGATTATTTCCTTTTAGGAAAGACACTGCTGATCCTGTAACATGGAGGATTGTCTTCATACCTCATCTGAGAATCTGTCCAAATTGGTCAGCTGGGCCCATAGCCATGGGACCATTTGCAGCCTCATTCCAAACCTAAAACACTTGCTTTCTGAAGGTTCCCATGGGAACCTGACCGCAATGTGGGGCTGTAGTGCTGGCCATGCTTATCATTGGCCACTAACGGCTACTTGTAGAGCTGGGTCCCAAGAAAGGGTCTGTTTCCAGGACAACAGAAGTTTTAACTCTGATAGTCCCAGTATAATTGGGGTGCCTTCTGAGACACAAACTAGCCCTGTTGAAAGGTACCCTGGGAGACCAGTGAAAGCAAAGCTAGACTGTAACCGGACCAGAGACTCTTGTGACTTCTCTTATTGCAGTGAGCCCTCTGAACTGGATGAAGCTGTTGAAGAGTATGAGGATGAAAACACCCTGTTTGACATGGTTTGTGAGTCTTCTGTTACAGATGAGGATAGTGACTTTGAACCCCAAACCCAAAGACCTCAAAGCATTGCTCGCAAAAGGCCAGGAATAGTTCCGTCTTCCCTCCATTCAAGTTCCCAGACACAGATGGTTGATGAATGCAGCAATGACGTCATCATCAAGAAAATCAAACAAGAAATTCCAGAAGATTATTACATTGTGGCAAATGCAGAGCTGACTGGAGGGGTAGATGGACCAGCCCTGTCCTTGACTCAGATGGCAAAACCCAAGTCTCAGACTCATGCTGGTCCCTCCTGTGTGGGGTCTGCTAAGTTGATTTCCCATGTAACATCTGCCATTAACACGGAGCTAGACCCACATGGTATGTCTGCATCTCCTTCTGTGATCTCCAGACCAATTGTCCCAAAGACTGCTAGGGTATCTCTGGCTTCACCAAACAGAGGACCCACTGGTACCCATGGCACCAACCAGCAGGTGGCCATGCAGATGCCTGTGAGCACATCCCATCCTAACAAACAGATCAGTATCCCTTTGTCTGCCCTGCAGCTGCCTGGACAGGATGATCAAGTTGCTTCTGAAGAATTCCTGTCTCATCTGCCCAGCCAGGTCTCATCCTGTGAGGTAGCCCTCTCTCCCTCAGTTAACCCAGAGCCAGAAGTGAGCTCCAGTCAGCAGCAGCCTCCAGTTGCTCCAACTATAACCACTGAGGCCACAGCGCAGTGCATACCAGGTATGGCACATGAGGCGATAGTGAGTCCCTCATCTATGTGCATCAGAGAATTCTGCGCCGTCAGCACTTCCAAGACTATTGCTTCAGTCCTTTTCATTCTCAGAAAGCTAGAAATAATGAAATACATTTCATCCAGGTGATAATATGCAGGAAGTTCATCTGAATTGAGGCCATTCATCCAGTTAATATACCTCAGGGCTGAGAGGACAGTTTTGAGAATGTGCTATTAATTCTGTGTGACTAGATTTAAGATTGATATCTGACCTTAACCTGAATTTTTTTGAAGTTGGTTTTAAAAGTTTTTTAAAATGCTCTCCTCTCAGTATCAAGGTATTTAGTTGCTGTTTCAGGCTACATGATGTTGATAAGGCATATGATGAAAATAGATCCAGCCATTAGAACCAGCTTTATCTGAACCAACTTCACATTGGTAATCATTTTAGTGGATGTGATAGCTTGAAATATTTTTTTTTACATCAACAGACATTTCTAAAAGAAGTATTAGATCTTTCTCTCAAAATTTAAAAGAATCAGATAATATATTTTTGCAATATATGAGCCTAACTGTAATGAATTGAGAGGAGAGTAGAATGATATTAGAACTCTACACCTGTAGTTCTAATGTTCTTTTTTTTTAAATATTTATTTTTTAGTTGTAGTTGGACACAGTACCTCTATTTTATTTGTTTATTTTTATGTGTTTCTGAGGATCGGATCAGGGGCCTCGCGTGTGGAAGGCAAGCACTCTACTGCTGAGCCACAACCCCAGCCCTAATATTCTTTAGTTCTAATATTCATTATTTATTTAACAGTAAATATTGTTATTTATTTATATAACAAAGGGGTTTGAGTTCATGATTTAAATCTAATAGGCCAGAAATTAAAACATGAACAAGAATGAATAGACATGCAAAGAATATGGAAAGCAGAGATCTGTGGTCATTTTGATCTCTTTTAATCCTCAAAATAGTCATATATTTTGGGAAAAGCTTCCTAGAAGCCTAAGGCACCAGTCCCTTTGGCCCAAAACTTCCCCAAATTATGTTTCTTTTACAAACACACTTTTCCAATTTCAGTGTCAACATTAAGATCCCCAAAAGGAAGTTTACATTTATTACTTTTCTAGCATAGTCATGATGTTATTAATAAATTATATTCTGAAAATATTCATAGCCTTATTAAAAAACTATGCCTTTTCAGTTTATTCGTTTTTCTTTCTTAAAATAACAGCTTTGTTGAGATATAATTCATATACTGTAACATTCACTTTTAAAAAGTGTACAGTTCAAATTGAGAGTAGTGGTACATACTTGTAATCCCAGCAATTTAGGAGGCTGAAGCAAGAGGATCACAATTTATAGCCAGCCTTGGCATTTTAGCAAGATCCTATATCAAAAATTTTTAAAAGGGCTGGGGGTGTAACTAGAATGCTCCTGGTGTAGCCATCACCATTATATAATTTCAGAACATTTTTATCACCTCAGAAAGAAACCTCTTGCTTACCAGTATAACTCGTTCCTCCCTCCAGTTCTTGGCAACCAGCTTTTTATCTAATGAATTTACTTATTCTGCAGATGTCATATATAAGTGGAATCCCATATTATATAACTTTTTGTGATTACCTTCTTGCTTTTAACATAATATTTTCCAGTTTGATCCCTGTTGTGGCATTTCTTTTCTTTTTATTGCTAGATAGTATTTCACTGTACAATATGCCGTATTTATTTCATTGTACAAATATGCCATTTCTTTTCATCAGCTGATGGACATTTGGGTTGTTTCAGTCTATTGTTATTATATTGCTACTATGAACATTTATATACAAAAAATTTTTGTGTGGGTATATGTTTTTATCCTGTTTGGGAAACTACCTAGGAGTAGAAATTATTGGGTCCTGTGGCAACTCTGTTTTAACTTATTAAGGAACTGCTAAACCATTTTCAAAATAGCTCCACCATTTTAGTCTCACCAGTAATGCACAAAGGTTACTATTTCTCCACATTATCACTAACATTTAATATTTTCCATGTTTAAAACAATTAGAGCTATAGTGTTGGGTATGTGAAATAGTGTATCGTTATGGTTTTGATTTGTGTTGTTCTGTTGAGCATTTTTTGTGTGTACTGCTTGGGCCGTGTATAGATCTTTTTTAGGGAAATGTCTGTTTAGATCTTTTGCCCATTTTTAAATTAGGTCATCTATTTACTGGTGAGTTATAAAAGTTCTTTATGTATTCTGGATGTAAGTCCCTTATCAGATACATGATTTGCAACTATTTTCTCTCATTCTATGGGTTGTCTTTTTCTTTCTTTTAAAATATTTTTACTTTGATCATTGAATAATACTGTGTATTGGCTATTCTTAATATACTAAATGCATTGTCTTTATTAGATTGGGTAACATCTTTGTACCAGGAAATCTACTCTATCCATGTAGTACTTTTGTGAATCTGGTTTGTTTGTCAGCCCCACCCCCACCCCTGCCTTTTTTTAAATATAAGTTGAAGACATAGCCTGGCCAAGTTTTCTACATTCTCAATTTACATTTGAGGATATAATTCTCAAATGTGACTTACAAAAGTGGTATACTCAAGCAGTTCAATAAGACTGTTACTTGTGTCACACACCCTTTCACTAACTTACCTTGCAAAGCCAAATGCATGACACAGAACTCTAAACCACTTCTTGTATAATGATTCGAAAAAGAAATTCAGCCTATTCGCAAAAGAAGTAATTTTAAAAATCCTTGTATTATTGTGTGTTTTACATTCTTATGGACTTTTTGGGGCTTCTTATAATAGCTTAAAAAGTAGATATGACCAAGGATAGTACATAACATATGCAGTCATGAACTGTGATTTGACTTCATTCTAACAAGGAGGATTGGTTTGCCTTGGAGTTGAACCCTCAAGAACTTTGTAAGGAACTAGTAATGGAATTTTCTAAGGAATCATTCTCATTTTTTGATCCATTGTTCTGTGGAAAGACATATTGCCAACATATCATTAGCTTTAGAAAAATACTACTTGGATTAGAAAGAGCAATGAGACAAATAAAAACCTGATTGACATTTTTCTTTTTTGAGAGATATTTAAAATTAATGTATAATTTCCCAGAGCGCAAGCTAGGTTCTGTGTTCTAAAGTTTAATTTATTTATTTGCATTTGTATTCTTATAATCTCCATTGTAAGTAGAGATTTAGAAAAAATCAATTCAGCATGCCCAAATGTATGTGATTGCCTTGATGAATGGACCTTCCACAGTTGATGTATAAAGCACACTTGAGACTAAACAAACAAACAAACAAACAAAGATTCTGAAAGAACTTTCTGAAAGCTGATCAGGCTCTTTTAAAACGGATAGCAGAATCTCGAGTCTTTAGCAGATCCTTGCATAAATATTGCACATCTTTAAATGATTTTTTTTTTTTTTTTGGTGGTGGGTTTCCAGGGATTGAATTCGGGGCACTCAACTACTGAGCCACATCCCCAGCCCTTTTTAAAATTTTATTTACAGGCAAGGTCTCATTGAGTTGCTTAGCGCCTTGCTGTTGTTGAGGCTGGCTTTGACCTCTCGATCCTCCTGTCTCAGCCTCCTCAGCCACTGGGATTACACGCATGTGCCACTGCACCTGGCTTTAAAAGATATTTTTAAAATAAATAATTTGACAAATGACCTGAGTGAGACAGAATAAAGAGAAATTGATCCATTTTGCTTAATTGTGCTAATGCCACTTAAATTTTTTCCCTAGTGAAAAATCATCCTTATTTATGTTTATAACTGAGTTTGTAAAATTATAAAATGTTAAACAAGGTGTGAATAAAATAATGACTTTTCACTTTATCTCTGCCATACTGCTCAATCTTAAGTTTCTAGCAACTTATAAAGAGGATGTGCATGTATTGTCGGTCACCATGGAGCATACCTGTAATCCCTGTTACTAAGGAAACTGAGGCAGGAGGATCACAAGTTTGAGGCCAGTCTCAGTAATTTAGTGAGGTCCCAAGCAATTTATCAAGACCTTGTTTCAAAACAAAAAATAAAGAAAAAAAAAGAACAAGGAATTATGCCCAGGGGTAAATGGCCCTTAAGTTCAGTTTCTGAAAAAAAAAGAGGATATGTGATTAGAAGAATTATTCACCATTTTTCATTAACTTTTGAGTTTTTATCTACATTGGGGTATTTAAAAATTTGAATCCTTATTGCATCATGAGTTAGGTTTTTCTGCATATATATGTGTAATTCTTACATATACTCATATATATGTATATATAGCCTCCTTTAAGATTTTGTGCAAAGGATCCCTTTTATTAACCATCTCTTCCCAGAAATTTTATGATAGCAAGCAATCAATTTTTGCTCTTCAGATTTGTAATATATATTTCCTCTTCTGAATATACATTTTTAAATCTTTTAATAGATTCATATGTGTTCTTGATACACAGTCATATGTCACAATGCTAGGGATACATTCTGAGAAATGCATATTGTACACCTAGGCTGTGTGGTAAAGCCTGCTGCTGCTCCTGGGCTACAGACCTGGCTAGCATGCTTATACATTGAATACTGTAGGCAACTGTGACGCAATAGGAAACATTTGGGTATGTAAGCATAGTTAAACAAAGAAAAAGTACAGTAAAAATAGAATATGAAAGATAAAGAATGGTACAGTCTGTATGGGGCACTTACCATGAGTGGACCTTGCAGGATTAGAAGTTGCCGCATTTGAGTCAGTGAGTGGTTAGTGGTGAGTGGATATGAAGGCCTGGGAATTATCTTGCATTGTTTGTACACTATAAATACTATGCTTAGGCAACACTAAATTAATTTTTTTAATCTTCCTTCAATAATAAATTAACCTTAGCCTGGTGTAACATTTTTTTATTCCATATTTTTTAACTTTGATTCTTTTGTAATAAAACTTAGTTTAAAAGGCAAATACTTTGTACCACTGTACAAATATATTTTCTTATTAAATATTTTCTCATTCTATAAGTTGTC